TCTTTAAAAATCCCTGTTAATAAAATGAAAAGACAAATCATGTATCTGCTTAAAGGGCTTGTATCCAGAATAATTCAAGAATTCTTGGGGCCCCTGGGTGGCTGTCAGTTAAGCATCTGCCTTTGGCTCAGGTCATGATCTCAGGGTCCAGGGATTGAGCCCAATGTCGGGCTCCCTGCTCATCGGGGAATCTGCTTCTCCCTCTCCCTCTCCCCCTGCCCCTCCCCCACAACTCCCACCATTCCTGCTCCTGTGCGTGCTCACTCGTTCTCTCTCTCTCTCTTTTGCGTGCACAAAAACAAATAAAATCTTTACAAAATTAAAAATTAAAAAAATAAAAATAGTAGGATAAAGCAATACTTAACAGAAGGGGAAGGAAGCATGTGGATTGTGCTTTTTGGAGACCACTGTGGTATTTTACAGCAGAAGAACCTAGGTGTCCCATTGACAAGGAGGAAAAAAAGCCAGTGAACTAGACAAACTGAGTCCCTGGGGAGATAGGACTAAGTGGAGAAAGTTTAATTTTTCTTTTTTACTGGAAATCAAGCACCATATTTTGTCATGCAAATACAGTCAGGTCTTTGTTTCTCATTATGGTAAAAAGACATTTCAGAAAACAGAATTGAGAGCCCAGAAATAAACCCACACATATATGGACAATTAATTTACAACAAAGGAGCCAAGAACATAAAATGGAGAAAGGACAGTCTTCAGCAAATGGAAAAACTGGACAACTACATGAAAAAGAATGAAACTAGACCACTATCTTACACCATATACAAAAATTAACTCAAAATGGATTAAAGACTTGAATTTAAGACCTAAAACTATAAAATTCCTAGAAGATTCCAAAGGCAAGGGAAGCAAAAGCAAAAATAAACAAATGGGACTACATCAAACCAAAAAGCTTCTTCTGCACAATGAAGGAAACATCAAAATGAGAGGGCAATCTACTGAATGGGAGACGATATTTTGGACTCTTCTATCTGATAAGGGGTTCATATCCACAATAGATAGAGAGCTCCTACAACTCAATGATTAAAAAAAATTTTTTTTTAATGGGCAGAGGATCTAAATAGACATTTTTCCCATGTTTCTTAATGTCAGATTCCAAATGTGGCTATCTACGTATTACTCAACCCAGCATTCAAGTCAATCTGATTATTCCCCCCCATGGAAGAAATCCTCACATGCTTGTTTCTTAAACTGTGGCTAAAGAATTAAAAAAAAAAAAATTGCTCTGTATCTTCTTTTCTATTTCCAATAGACCTAATAATTAACCCCAGTTTGGGAGCAGATTGTCTTTTGGCCTCAAACAGTTAGCTCCAGCAGGTGCCCTCGTGGTACTCAGACACTCAGACACACGAACAGTGCCCCTGAGCACTGACACCGTGATGCTATCTAAGCACCAATTCCAGTTCAAGCAGGGTGAGTGCCAGGGGCCTTGAGAAGTGTCTGACCTTGCTAACATAATTGTAGGGTCCGGGATTTGTGGTGAGGCCAGTCACTCAGTACAGAGGGCTATGAAAGTATTTTTCCACTTGTAGAGGAGTTTTGCTTCTAGTCCTAGCATATGATCTCCCTGAAATGCCTGTAAGTTCAACTTAAGGTCGTATTCATTATTTCCATTCTACTTTACCTCATAAGTGGGTCTTCAAAATTATATACTTAAGCATATTAAGTATCAGAATAATCAAAGAAAGATAGAGATATGTATGAGGCAGTGGTTTCTAGGGAGAATAGTCATTGAGAGAATGGTTTTGTTATTTGGAGCTTTGTTTAATAAAAGTTTTTAAGGGGCGCCTGGGTGGCTCAGTCGTTAAGCGTCTGCCTTCGGCTCAGGTCATGATCCCAGGGTCCTGGCATCGAGTCCCACATCGGGCTCCCTGCTCGGCAGGAAGCCTGCTTCTCCCTCTCCCACTCCCCCTGCTTGTGTTCCTGCTCTCGCTATGTCTCTCTCTGTCAAATAAATAAATAAAATCTTTAAAAAAAATAAAAATAAAAAAATAGAAGTTTTAAAAAAATTTTTTAGAACCTGTTATGGACTGGGTCCGTAGAAATAGCCCTGAACTCTTCTTCTTCCCTGTGACTAACAAGGTTTATTCCAACGTCTGTTGGGGCAAAGTTGTTCTTGGAGCTCAGTCTCCTTGAGCACATTGCAGATTCCTCCTCCCTGAGACTCTCAGATGGAAGGGAACCAAGTTCCATCCTGGGTCTGTCTCCTTCTGTCCTACCACCCACAATCTGAGGCACCCCCTCTCTATCATGTGACACTGGCTGTTAGGTGTCGCCATTGATTCCGAACCAGGAGCTCGGACTAGGGAGCGTGCGGTTCTGAAACACTGGAATAGGGCACACTACCTGGCTATTCAGGGCCATGTCACAGTTGTCCCATGGAAAGCTCTCCAGTCTTCTGGAGATCCGATGCAACAGGAAGTGGCTGAGAGCAGGGAAGCAGCTCTGCAATATACAAGCCTATTGAATGAGAGTCACATTCTCTTTTAATATATTTTCCTAAAATCCACTTTATTTTATATTACTTCTGAGCTAAAATTTTAGTTCATTTAAAAAGCCAATAAGAAAATGTTATAGGGGGAAAAAATCTTTAATCACAGAAAACTAGGTTTCTAACCAGATGATAAACTTTGATAAATCAATGATACCCAGATCATGACTTTAAATTCTCACTGATCTATTAGGCTGTAACATCAACATATTACACACATGCCTGCTCACTTTGGCTGACCAAATGTGGGCCTACATTGCCAAATTAAACATGGAGAGAAAAGCTGGCTTCTAGACAGCCTGCCTAACATGTTCATTTGAAACAGCTTTTAAGCAAATATAATTTTGATTGGAACTTATCTCAACCAAACAAAATTCTCTAATGGTCATGAGAGATTGAGCAATATAGAGGTGAGATTGCTAGGTGGACTGGAGTCACAAGGTCATCAGCCTACCTTCTGCCAACATAAGATGGCTCCGTAGAGTCTGCATACAGCTTGTCTAAAGTACGCTATAGCTCAGTAACCATTCCAAGCTCTGCCTTCTCCCTCTCCCACATCATGCCTTCATCCTTATTCCTACATCCAGTGACCTCACTGCCTAATTTAATGATGAGGAATTAAGTTAAAAGGCATAAGCCCTTCCCCCTTCCCTTGGCACTTGAACATCTCTTTCTTCTAATCTACTCTTCTATCCCTCATTTCCAAAGCTGTTCCCTGTATCTGAGCCCTTAGCCTCATTCATTCTTGCTTTCCCCGGGGCCTTGCTCTCTTAGTTATCAGCTCTTTTGCCACAGTTTGTTCTCTCTCTACTGGCTTCTCCTGCATTGTCTTCAGACAGCCATATATTTCTTTTGTCCCAAAAAGATCTTTTTTTTTTTTTAAGATTTTATTTATTTATTTGACAGAGAGACGCAGCAAGAGAGAGAACACAAGCAGGGGGAGAGGGAGAAGCTGACTTCCTGCGGAGCAGGGAGCCCGATATGGGGCTCGATCCCAGGACCCTGGGATCACGACCTGAGCCAAAGGCAGACGCTTAATGACTGAGCCACCCAGGCACCCCCTGAAAAGATCTCTTGCTGTCCTCTAAACCACCACCTCCTCTTCTCATTCCTTTCATGGACAAACTTCTCTGTACAACTTTTCTTATTTTATTACACACTATTACACCACAAGTGCCTGAAAAGCAAGTTATGACTTATGTCTGTCAAGTCCCTAGCACAGTATAAAGCACTGAATGAGGCATAGACCTTGGGTTCAAATTTGGTTTCAGTGGCTACTGTCAAATGACCTTGGGAAATTACTTAATCTTACTTATCCTCAGCTTCTTCATTTCTAAAGGAGGGGGGCGTGGGAATAATAATGCTTATCTTCAGAGGATCTGAATAGGGATTTTTCCAAAGAAGACATACAGAAGCCAATAAGTATTATGAGAAGGTGCTCAACATCACTAATACCAGGGAAACGCATAATCAAAACCACGGTGAGATATCACCACACGCCTATAAGGATGGCTAGTATCATGAAGACAAGAGGTAACAAGTGTTGGCAAGATATAGAGAAAAGGGAGCCCTTGTGCATAGTTGGTGGAATGTAGATTGGTGTAGCCACTGTAGAAAAGTAGTTCCTCAAAAAACTAAAAACAGAATGACCTTATGATCCAGCAATCCCACTTCTGGGTATTTATCCAAGGGAGCAAATTTGGTATCTCAAAGACATAGCTGTACTCCTGTATTCACTGCAGCATTATTCACAGTAGCTAACATATGGAAACAACCTAAGTGTCCACTTACAGATGAATGGACAAAGAAAATGTTATATATGTAACAATGGAATATTATGCAGCCATGAGAAAAAAAAAAAAGGAAATCTTGCCATTTGCAACAACGTGGCTGGACCTTGAGGGCATTATGCTAAGTGAAATAATTCAGAGAAGAATAAATTCAGTATGATCTCATTTATATGTGGAATCTAAAAAAGCCAAACTCATAAAGACAGTAGAATGGTGGTTGCCAGAGGCTGGGGGTTGGAGGAAATGTGGAGATACTGGTCAAGGGATACAAACTTCCAGTTATAAGAGGATTAAGTTCTGGGAACCCAATGTACAGCATGATGACTGTAGTTAAAAATATTATATGCTTGAAAGTTGCTAAGATACTGGATCTTAAATGTTCTCACTAAGAAAGAAACTAATTATGTGAGGTGGTAGAAGTGTTAACTAATCCTATGGTGGTAATCATTTCATAATAGATAATGTGTATCAAATCATCATGTTGTATGCCTTAAATTGACCATGTTATATGTCAGTCATATCTCAGTAAAGCCAGAAAAGAATGATGCCTATCTTGCAATGTTGTTATGGAGATTAAATGAAATTATGTTTATAAAAACTCCTAGCATGGTGTCTGGCATGTAGTAGGCGCTCAAAAAGGCTGGTTCCCTTCCAACTCCACTCATGGTAGGGGTTCAGTTGATTGACCGCATGGTCAATTTCAGGTCACCAGTCAGTGGCATGGCATCCAGTTTCTGTTAAGTTTGATTCTTACTCTTCTGTCTTGTGTGTTTCAGGTTCACAACCAATATCCAACGGAATTTGAATTCAATCTCTATTACTTAAAGTTTTTGGCTTTCCACTATGTGTCTAATCGCTTTAAAACATTTCTCCTGGATTCAGACTATGAAAGATTAGAGCATGGTATGTGTTTGCACTCCCTTGTTCCATCTTTTTTGTTAGTTTTGTGTGTTTTTAATTAAAAACTCTAATCTACCCCCAAGTATGGCAAGGCCATTTTAGGGTATTACCCTGAACTATAAAAGTAGAATAGATGGGGCGCCTGGGTGGCTCAGTCGTTAAGTGTCTGCCTTTGGCTCAGGTCATGGTCTCAGGGTCCTAGGATGGAGCCCCACATTGGGCTCCCTGCTTTGCAGGAAGCCTGCTTCTTCCTCTCCCATTCCCCCTGCTTGTGTTCCGTCTCTGGCTGCCTCTCTCTCTGTCAAATAAATAAAGTCTTTAAAAATAAATAAATAAAAGTAAAATAGATATGAATGAGTGCCCACCTTCTCCGATTATGTGCTGTGCTTTTAGGGACTACAGGTGGTTGTCCCAGTAGCACTGTAGAAAGGTGAAATTTGCTTACTATTTTAACATCCCAAAGTGGTATCACTGAAGAGAAACGTTTGACTTAGTTTTACCGTCCCTGGTACACTCACTCTGGTAGGAAAAGTGCTGGACCTTGGAGGCAGTTTGAATAGCAGGAAAGGCCATGGGCTCCAGAGCAAATAGACCAGGGTTCAATTCCAGCATTCCTAGTACCAGCTGAACACTTTGGACAAGTTCAGTGCCTCTCTGAGTTTCCTCAGCGTCCTCATCTCTAAAATGAGGACATTATTAGCACCCACCCCTTTGGCCATGATGATCACGTGAGGAAATATTTATAAATTTCTTAGCAGTTTCTAGCTTATAATAATCACTCGTTGAATTTTATTTATTTATTTTTATTTTTTTTTAAAGAGTAGATTTTGAAAGCCCCTGTGAAAACATTCCCCACAGGGATTTTACATTCTTATTTTGGTGTTTTTTTAAGAAGGGAAGGAATGATACACAAGATCTTGTTAAGAAGACGGTAAAGAAAAAAAATCATCTATTTTCAGTATATGTACCTGGATATTCATAAAGAGAACTCTTCTAGTGGCTGAAAATATTTACTAATGTTCTCAGTTTAAAATATGAAATAAAAAATGTTGCTTTCCAGTGTTTGCTATTAAATGGTCTAGTATGATATTTCATACTTTTGGTAAAGGAGACAGCACTGGTTCTTATTTATATTCCAGACCTTTGTTGACTCATAGAATTGTCATTCCACACGTCATAATCAGAAACTTTAATTTCTTAAGCACTGTGTGTTGGGAAGACATTAAGGAGAACTGATTACATTGGACATTGGAGTCACTTGGAGAACTTTTAAATCTTTTTTTTAAGATTTTATTTATTTGACAGAGAGACACAGCGGAGAGGGAACACAAGCAGGGGGAGTGGGAGAAGCAGGCTTCCCACTGAGCAGGGAGCCCGATGTGGGGCTCAAACCCAGGACCGTGGGATCATGACCTGAGCCAAAGGCAGATGCCCAACCACTGAGCCACCCAGGTGCCCCCCACTTGGAGAACTTTTAAAATAACTAGTATCTGGGACCCATCCTCAGAGATTCTGATTTAATTGGTCTGAGGCAAGACCTAAGCATTGGGATTTTTTAAAGCCCTTGATTTTTCTGATCTGTGGCCAGAGTTGAGAACTACCACACTGGACTCTGCAGTTAAAAGGTAGACAAGAAACAGTACTTAGTCTTGGGGCCTCTTTGTAGGATTTTGTGCAGCCTTGGGCTTGAAACATTCTTTTCTGATCAACTGGTAAAATGCTTGTTGACTTTTGACTGAGTCATTTCATTCAAAGCAAGACAGCACTGCTAAGAGAGGCACCCTTCCTGGTCCTTTGAAGAAATACTCTCCTTCCTCACCCTTACACATCTTCTCTATTAAAACCAAAGTGAGCCCATGTGAGTGGCAAATTGACTGTTTGATAGGTACAAGGATAGGATCAGAAAAGGCCTGAAGCACCCCCCTCTACATTTGGCTTTGGTCAAGTCACCCAAAGATACAGACCACACCCTTCTATCCTCCAAAGTCTCCATGACCATGATTTGCAGTATATATAAACTACTGAACGAGAAGAAACTTTAAACGGCTTCATAATGAACAGCCGAAGACTGGAAAAAGAAACCTAAAATTATGTTTTTAACTAGGCTTCATCACATCAACTCGAAGTCCTTCCCTTTTCTCCTGAAAAATGTGTAGAATGACTCCTGGCGTGGAGCTCTGTGAATCTAGATCTAGATGTAGGATGTGGATTAGAAGAAGGTCATGATGAACTGCTAAATACTTGGGAAAACCTTATCAGATGTTTTCCTTCCATTTGGGCTTTGTTTCCCTATAGCTGAGAAGTTCATTCCTCTCCTTAGCTTTGCAGTTACCTCTAAGGTTTCTGCACGTACATTGCTGTTTTGAGAGCTGTAAAATAGATTTTACTTTTCATCTGCTACATGCATCATAGTTTTATTTATTTATTTTTAAAGATTTTATTTATTTGAGAGAGAGAGAATGAGAGATAGAGAGCATGAGAGGGAAGAGGGTCAGAGGGAGAAGCAAACTCCCTGCTGAGCAGGGAGCCCGATGTGGGACTTGATCCCTGGACTCCAGGATCATGACCTGAGCCAAAGGCAGTCGCTTAACCAACTGAGTCACCCAGGCACCCGCATCATAGTTTTAGACAGACTGTTGATTTATTTGACTTTTGTTTTATTGATTTTTTTTTTTTTTTTTGGACTTACAGGAACTTTGTTTGAGGATAAAGGAGACAAGCATGCCAAAAAAGGAATTTGTATTTGGGAGTGTATTGATAGAATGCACAAGAGGAGTCCCATTTTCTTTAATTATTTATATTCACCAGTGGAAATAGAGGTACAGTAAGAAAGTATTTATGTTTCATTTTCTGAATATTTAGTGTTAAAGTTTTCCTTACTTTTAAGTATATATAAGCCGTTCAAGCTTTTTATAAACATTGGACTAGGAAGCTATTTAAAATACCAGAGGCTATTTAAAAGTTTGATACACCATGGGTTTGGGTTATGATGGAATGGAGACTGTTCATCATATTCTTGACCACAAAAATTAGGAGCTGGACCCTCAAATCTAGAAGGGGTAACTTAAAGTCAAAGCGAGGCAACTTTCCACGGGATGGAAGACCAAACAAAACTTGAAACCTCAACTGGTTATCTAAGCTGAAAAAAAAATCTAAAATACTTTGGGACAGATTTCTTTAAGTCCATTTATACCAAAGCCATGGAAGAACCCTTTGGGAAGCAGGGATGTTTGGAGCGCAGCCCAAGAAGCATGACATTTCAGGGGCAACCATGCTCTGTGATGCACGTCTATATGAAGTAAGCCCCGGGGTGGGACAGACTGGTGTGATGAGCAGTACCACCTTCCTCAGGGGCAAAAAGGCCCTATCCTTGGCTCCATACATTAGGACCCCACTCTGGCCTTTCTCCAGCAACCCCTCCTCAGAAGGTGCAGAGCCCAAGAAACCAAGTGTTTGTGCTTAGATACCCCTTCTTTATCTAAACCATGGTCTGGTACCCCAAAATTTCTTAACCCAAATCCAAGTTACTCACGAGACTACTTCCAGTCTGTCTCCCAAGCCAGTGCATGTGCCCCTCAGCCCCAAGGACACCTAAGGAATAACTGTTTGGCAGGGAGTAGACAGAGTTTAGCTTTATGGGCTGGGGTATATATACACATTCATAAAAGACCCTCAGAATATAGGACAGAGCCAAAGTGAGAGGAGCAGGGACTTAGGCCGAGGACTGGGAGCTGGGACTAGCTTCCCCAGTGCCACCACTTTCTGGTGTAGAATTCCAAGGAGTCCATGATATCTCATTTTGAGCTTGGCCTTCCAGGTCATTAGGAAGTTCCGTTTATCAAGGTAGGAGGAGAGACATATTTTATTTAATAGTTTATCTTGATGTATAACATTTAAATATTTAGACATATGGTATTAGAACATCCATTCATGCTCTTGCCCTGGACCCTGCAAATGTTAGGGGCCGGCTTGCCTATAAACTTGGGGTGCTTTGAGGTCAAGATGAAACTATATTTCAGAATTCTCTTTGAACAGGCCCTGAAGCCCAATGTAAATGTCTCCAGCCTCAAGAAGTGGGATTACTACATAGAGGAGACCCTTTCCACAGGGCCTTCATATGACTGGATGATGCTGACCCCCAAGCAGTTCCCCTCCGAGGACTCTGAAGTGGCCGGAGGAGCTGGGCTCCAGAGCCAAAGGAGAACAGTGTGGCCATGCTATGATGACGTCAGCTGTGCTCAGCCCGATGCACTCACCAGGCTTTTCAGCGTAAGTCAGGCCTATGGAGACATGCACATAGAGCACCCGAGGCCTCGGGAACCAGGCTAAATTAGGACTGGCTCGCAAACTCCCAGACATGGCTCTCCTCACTCTGGGCCAGTGTTATATGTGGCGCCACAGGAGGGTGAGGAAACCAAATTTGCTCCCCAGCAGCAGCAGGGGACCAGGCCCAACCACTGGAAAAGAGTCCAAAAAAGTAAGTTTTCCGGCATTATGAGGAAGCAATCAAGCAAATGGAGCAATTTGCAGCTTCCCAGCTGTTTTAGCTGCCCAGCAGCCTGAGTCAGGCCTGGGTTATGGCTTTTGTGGGTGCTTTACTTCCTCTGGTCAGAAGTGTGGGTGGTTGATGGCCTGATGGGAGTACTGCCAATCGTCTTCTCCAGGGAATATTCTGGAGTGAAGCCGTCCCAGCAGTGGCCACCCTGATGAGAGCAGCAGCCCCAGGAAAGGGTTTGAGCCCTGATCTGGGCCCCACAGTTCCTGAAGAGTCTTCATCCATTCTTCTGACCGGGGGGGCAGGAGGGGGGACACGCACGCTGCAGTGAAGGCGCTGTCACAGGGCCAGCTACTCTGCTCTCCAGCTTCCCTCTCCAAAGCAAAGTCCATTCCTTGGGCATTTCTTGATTCATTCTTCCCACATCTGGTTTTAAATCATCAGAGTTGGGAGTTCCTCTGTCAAAGACAGACCTCTACCTCAGCCATTAGGATTTGGACACCAGCCTTTTTGCTGTGGCCATCAGATTTCCTGTGGGGTGGCCAAAGGTCAAGGTGTTTGGGATACATATTTTCTCTTTATTTAAGCTATTCTGTACAAAAAGGCCTGATTACAGATCCTAATAAATCACCTTTGCCATAGTACGTCATACCAGCTAGAGCTCCCACCACTGTCCCTGGCTTGGGAGACCTCTGAGGCCACCGACTTTAGCTACCTTCTGGCCATGATGTTCATGGGGCCCAATACAGAGGAGATTTGGCTCTGGGGCACATTCTGATTTCTATGAAATACTTAATGTCAGAAAACTCATTTTAATTGCTTTGCAGGAAATTGAAAGATTGGAGCACAAATTGAACCAAACCCCTGAGAAGTGGCAGCAACTGTGGGAAAGAGTAACAGCGGACCTTAAGGAAGAACCCAGAGCAGACCGTGTGAGTTGATAAAATCCTGTGAGGAGCTACTTCAGAGTTTTTTTGAGGGTGCTAGGTCAGGTGGGGCCCACTGCCACAGGTAACCCAGGTGGGTGTATGGCCAGAGGGAGGGATGGAAAGGGGAGGGGTCATGCCCTGGAGGTCCAGGGCAGAAGGTCCCAAATGACTGAATACTTCCTGAGTGTCTCACTTTACCACAGTGACATAAGACTTGTGTTTCAGGGCCCCGCATCCAGGGAAAATTACCGGGTTCTTTTCTATCTGCTCCTCTGTGGTTTCAGCTGATTTTCTACCACATGAGTAGGGAAGGGAACACCAGGACCATCTTCCCTTCAGAGAAATAGCCAGAGAAAAGAAAATATTTTTAAAAGACAAACTATGCTACTTTCTGTTGCTCACACCCCCTTTTCTGTTTCTGAATTAAGAAACATTTATCATAACAATATTTTAAAAACACACACTCTGTTTTCTATTTTTCACACCCCCTCTTCCGTTTTTGACTTAAACTTTTATCAGGCCTTAATATGTGCAAGAGGCCATGCTGAGCTCCCCCCCCACTTTAGCATCCCCCACAGCCCACAGTGAGGGGGGGCGTCCCTGCTCACAGGCAAGGAGACAGGCACAGAGATCACACACCTCGTACTTGAGGCAGCCACCATCAGATCCACATCAGACTGGCTCCAGATGCAACAGAAGGGAAGTCAGGACAGCTGTGAGTGTTGTGAAGAGGACTTCAGATGTCACAGAGGGACAAGGAGAGTGGGGGACAGAAGAAAGCCACCAGGCTGCCGAGAAGGGACCCTCCAGGCACTAGCTCTGGCCTTCAGATGGCAGCTCAGGGAACTGTTGTCAGACAGACCACCGGCGGGTGATGTCTGACTGCTTTACTTCTCAGAAAAATAAAACCGTTTCTTGATATTTTTTTCTGATTATGAGAGTGAGATATATTTATTATTTTAAATAAGACAATACACAATAAGCAGAGGATAAAAATCACCTACAATTTATAGCCTAGAAATAAACCACAAGCTGTCAAACTTGTATCATTCTAAACACAAAAAAAAGGGATTTGCTATATATACTATTTTAAAACCAGCTTTGTGGGGTGCCTGGGTGACTCAGTCAGTTAAGTGTCTGCCTTCAGCTCAGGTCATGATCCTGGGGTCCTGGGGGAGTGGGGAATCTGCTTCTCCCTCTGACCCTCCCTCTCTCGTGCTTTCTCTGTCTCACTCTCTCTCTCTCTCAAATAAATAAATAAAATATTTTTTTTAAAAAATGAGGCATACATGACCTTCCTTTGTCACTATATATAAGTCAGCACAGCAGTTTTAATGCCTGTCATAAAATTCCATTCTATGGAAATACCTTTTTTTTAACCAGCCCCCTAATGATAGACATTTACGTTGTTTCTGGTTTTTTACTATTATAAACAACTCCAGGATAACATCTTTGTACGTATGTTCTATTTAGTACTCCAGTTTTCTCCTTGAGGTAAATTTTTAGAAATGAAATTATTGGATGAGTTGCTCAATAAAATCTTCATAAAGCTTTCCTAGCTCTTTTTTTTTTAACGTAAAATGCAAAGTTATCATCTTACAGTTTAGGGGGAGGGGTTTTTTTTTATCCAAGTATGGCTCTTCTTCAGCCGCAGAGACACCCTTCAGGCTCCCCAGGAATTGTCTCCCCCAACGTGCCCTCCTGTCAGAAGCGGTCCCTGCTGCCCCTCGCAGACAGCGGCGCGGGCCGGGAGCAGAGCGCCCGCGCGTGCCCGTCCAATGGCGTGGACCGCAGAGCAGCCACGCTGTACAGCCAGTACGCGTCCAAGAACGACGAGAACAGGTGGGCGCGCCGAGCCCCCGCCCTGCACTAAGCGGGGCCTGGCCAGGACAGCCTTCTGTAACCTTGGATGGATTTGCCTTCATTCTTTCTTTGTTTCTGTTGTAAATGTGTTAGATGGCTCTTTGAAGAGAAGAAATCAAAATTACAACTAAAATTAAACGTCAAGAGGTTATAGCGATTTGTGGTTAAGTCCTGGTTATTACTATCTCATGCCTGTTCGATCGTTAGAGGGATATGTGTTAGTCAGCAGTTTGGGGATGTCAGAAGTTCAGCTCGTGCTAGCTTAAGCAAAAAGGAGTTTACTCACATAGACTGGGAAGGCCACGGATGTGCCAGTTTCTCACACAGTTGTCTTCGGGCTTCTGTTCATTTGCTGGCTCTCTTTTCCTCTAGGGGTTGCATCATTCCCAACATGGCACAAAAGATGGCTACTGAGAGCTCCAAACCTCACAGGTTTGGTAATTCCAGCAGAAAGAGGCAGTCTTTCCCCCAAAGGTCTAGTAAAAAAGATTCTGGAGATGATTCTGACTGGCTTTTTTTTGGACCATCCGAGGGAGAGAGAGGCTTGACAGAAACAACAGACATCCCCTTCACAGCACTTTTTAAATGAAAAACCAAAATTAACTGGCCTGTCATCGTTTCTTCTAGGTCCTTCGAGGGAACGCTTTATAAAAGAGGGGCTCTGCTGAAAGGTTGGAAGCCCCGTTGGTTTGTGTTGGATGTAACAAAACATCAGGTAATAATACTATGAAAGCCTACAGAAATCACCTCTCTCTAGGCTAGACTGCAGCCTCACTCTACCTCATAACTGACCAGTCAGCCTGGAGGTCGAGTACACATTTTGATTCTCAACTCATTCATTTCTAAAATAGAGTCTGTTGAGGGGCACTTGGGTGGCTTAGTCAGTTAAATATCCAACTCTTGATCTCAGCTCAGGTCTTGATCACAGGGTTGTGAGTTCAAGCCCCGCATTGGGCTCCACGCTGGACATGGGGCCTACTTTAAAATAAGATAAGTTAGGGGTGCCTGGGTGGCTCAGTTGGTTAAGCGACTGCCTTCGGCTCGGGTCATGATCCTGGAGTTCCGGGATCGAGTCCTGCGTCGGGCTCCTTGCTCAGCGGGGAGTCTGCTTCTCCCTCTGACCCTCCCCCCTCTCATGCTCTCTCTCTCTATCTCATTCTCTCTCAAATAAATAAATAAATAAATCTTTTAAAAAAATAATAAAATAAAATAAGTTATATAAAATATAAAATAAAATATAAAATAAAAAATGGAGTCCGTTAAGAAAGATACAAACTGGTACCCCTATACAGTGTTCTGGTAGGACCTGCACCTAGAAGACCATTTCCAGATAAAGATCTTAGATGGGGACCACATTTCCCTCTGCTCAGGGCATTTCATAAAAGTTAGAGTCTTTGTGGAAGAACATAGAGAATTTACTTACAAATATGCAATGGAAGCCCTTTTGGGGAGGGGATTGTACTTTAAAATAACGGCTCTGAAATCATAGAGAATAAGTTGTAGAGACAAGTTCCGTTAAACCACTAAATATAACATAGGACAATGTCATAATTTTTCTGTAATTTATAATTACACCAAATTATACTCACATTCTTACCAATCTTTTGGATTTCTTTAACATGAAAAGTTTATGTTAGATCCATTTTAGAACTACTTCTACCCATGCCTGACTGCACAGACAGAGAAAAGTCTGAGGCCAGAACCGCAGTGACAGAGGCATCAGACACTTTCCTCCTGTGTAAGTTAGAGAGTGAAATTCAGTCCTGGCACATAGTAACCACTCAGTCAAATGTTGAGCTATTTCTTGTGTTTTTCAAAAATCATTTTATATCTACATGCTATCTGGCAACTTATATTTTTATATAATATATCTTGAACATATTTTCCTACCAGTTCATAAAGATCTTCCTTATCATTTTTGAAAAGTTATAGTATTCCATATGATTGATATAATTAACCAACCATCATTTAATTAACAAACACTGCATTGAAAGACAGATACATCTTTTCCATTTTTAGCTAATAAAAACAGTGCTAAAGGAAACCTCTTTCTGTGTGTCTCTGCATGCTCGTGGGAGTGTTTCTGTAGAGGTGAGAAGGATGTATCAATAGGCGTAAACATTTTATTTATTTATTTTTATTTATTTATTTGAGAGAGAGAGCAGAAGCAAGGGGAGCAGCAGAGGGAGGGAGAGAAACAGGCTCCCCACTGAGCAGGGAGCCCGATGCAGGGCTCGATCCCAGGACCCTGGGATCATGACCTGAGCCAAAGGCAGACGCTCAACCAACTGAGCCACCCAGACGCCCCAGGCATAAACATTTTAAATTTTAGTTGCTGTTGCCAAATTATAGTCCAAAAGGTGTCTAACAAATTATATCCCCACTAACAATGTTTGGGAATACCTAGTGCCTTTCATTCAACCTGAATATTATCAGCCATTTTTAATATTTCTTAATCTAAGTGAAAAGTGAAGTATTACTGATTTCATCACTTTTCTTTCATCAGGGAGGTTGCTCATCTTTTCAGATGTTTATAGGTCATTTGCATTTCTCCTGTGACTTGCCTGTTGAGATTTTTTTATCATTTTTCTACTAGATTGTTTATTTTTTTTCTTACCGATTTCTAGAAATTCTGTATATATTCTAAACCTGTTTTTTATATGTTACCTATGTTTCTTACAATTGTTAGTTGACATTTAATTTTATTTTTTAATATGTAATCTTTTTATTCATTCAAATTTCAAAAAAATACGTCTTTTTCCTCCTTTCTGTCAGCCACCAAGAAGCAAGCGGTGTTTTTATTTTCTTGTTTATTCTTTCAGGCATAGGTTAGCAAGATGCAGAGGAAAGTATTCAAATACATTTTGAAAAGCCATGCCATTTTCCCTTTCTGTGTCTCTTATATGCCCTCTGTATCCTTTTGGTTCCAGCTGCGATACTATGACTCAGGTGAGGACACAAGCTGTAAAGGCCACATTGATCTGGCTGAAGTAGAAATGGTCATCCCTGCTGGCCCCAGCATGGGAGCCCCAAAGCACACGAGTGACAAGGCTTTCTTTGATGTAAGTTGATCTTACTTGTCTTTTCCTGGCTCTGTACATGATTCCTTACAGTCCATCCACCTCCAAGAATTATGGGGCCTCAGAGCAATTGATGGTGACAGCAGGTAGGTTGCAGACCCCCTGGCTATGGGAATTGCTACAGAACTTGAACTCAGCACTCGATGCCCAAAGCTGACCTCTTCCTTCCCTCTGTTCGAATGTCTCAAAAAGGCTGCATATTGCTTTGCACAAAGGACTTCTTCAGTGGGTGTCCAGCCACATATGGAGGCAGATGAATTCCCTATTAAGTATTGTTTGTTATTTTACTCACTACCTTCTGTCAAGAACAGATGCTACTTCCCTTTGGATCCAGTGGTCTTCATGCTTGACCGTCCATAAACATTGTCCTTAGTCATACATGATGACTATTTGCCCTTAGGTGAGCCTTGGGGCATTTTATGGGCCACATGATAGGATTCTTATCTAGTTCCCATAGCCAAGCAGGGCTTCATAAAGAGCACAGTCATACTCTAGGGCTCTGTTCTAGCCATGAGGCCATTTCCCTGAGTCTGGGCTTCCAGGGTGGCCCCAACTGAAGCCTTTAGAGAAGGGGATGGAAAGGGGACAGGGAAGCCAACTTCCTCATGGTGTGGCTGAACCTCACTCAGGCTTGCCTGAGGAGCACTGGGAGCTTCCATGGCACATTTGCTGCATTGGTGCAGTGCATGGGAGAGGCCAGAGCCATTCCTGACCCTCTTCCTTAGTCAAGGAAGGCCCCAGGAAAGTGCAAAGTTAGGCTCTCCTAGCATGTCTCCTTTTTCTGCCAGTGGCCTTCTTATAATACCTGCAGTGACTCTGGGGACCAAAAACACAGTGTGTCTGTGAAGGCAGTGACAGTATGGCCCAGGAGGGGAATGAGAACATAGAGGTCCTGGGGCGGTATGGGAAGGGAGGTTCACTGGGATTGATTCGCACACTTAGCCAAAGCCATAGAACAGGCCTGCCCTTCATCTGTGCTTCTCTTCATTTGGTTTTGTAGCTCAAGACCAGCAAACGTGTGTATAACTTCTGTGCCCAGGATGGACAGAGTGCCCAACAGTGGATGGACAGGATCCAGAGCTGTATCTCTGATGCCTGATGCCCATGGTCAACCCAAGCAGAAGAGGGAGGAAGGACTCATGCTGTCAGATAGAACAAAGTGCATGAATCCTTGAGGAGTTGACAGCTTCCTGTTTGGTTCTAAAGAGTCATCCCAGGCCTAAGGTTCTCCTGCCCAGTCTTACCCAGTGCCCTCTTTGAGCAGTTACTATGTCTGCTTAGCCTGAGTGAATGTGTCACAGAGGGCTGGCCGAGAGCCCCAGGCACTCCCTGTGTCTTGCACTAGGTTGTTCTAACAGGGTCTTAGTGGTTAGGGATCAGAAGAATGCTTCCTGAGCCAACTGTCATCTGTCCCCTAGGCAAAATGGCTACCACTTACTTGACTCCTTCTTGATGAAACTAGATCCTTTTTGTTCCCAAGGTCACAATTTCCTTGGAGAGCTTTCTGACAAGCAAAAATCAAAACTCTCCAGGATGATCTTACATTGTGTCTGGAACAGGTTTCCCAGCAGAATAGCTCCTACTCTTAACTGCCTGACCTTAGAGATGCTCAGTTCTCTGGTGCTCCCAAAAGGTGCTTCCATAACCCCTGCTGGGCCACTGGAGATCACAACAAGAACCTCAGTGCTCAGTGGCAGGCAAGGGGCGGGCGGGCGGGGGTGCACACAGGATTCTCCTGAAGGAAAAAAATGGCCCAGGGAAAGATGCAACAATGACCAGGCCAATGCAGTAAAATATTGCTTCCAAAACAATGAATTTTCTAGGCCAAAGGTGCCCTGAGGATCCAGGACTTTGTGTTCCTATGTATTCTTCTGCTCCCTGACAGCTTCTTACACAAAATAACATGCAAAAAGCCGAATGCACTAACTCACAACTAAACACTTGCACTGAACTCTTAAAGAAGCGAAGATATTGGAAAGACAGAAGCTGGCTGTTCATGAGCGCATCACACCTGTGACGGGCTGTGTAGACAGCGGCCGCACGGCGGCACAATCCGATGCCCAGACGGCACTTCTGCACATGCACAGTAAGAACTGTTTGTAGATTTTCTTTACTTTGGATAATGTTGTCTTTGTTCAGCTTAAGATCTGAGGAATGCTGTTGGTTTACAGCAAGCGGGGCAGCGAGCTCTCTGCCCACAGGCGCTGCCACCAGCCGGAGTCAGAGGTAGCTAGGTGGTTGTTGTGGAATGTTAATATGTTACATACCAAACTAATATTTCAAAAATATGTATATATGATTTCTATATCCTTGTTTTTCAGATAGCCTACTTATAATTTAATATAAAATTAACTGATTCGTGCGTAAGATTTCAGTAATGAAAATAGTTCCCTTTTTAAAAAATAAAAAATCACTTTGTCTTTGTAGATTACAAATCAGATTTTCAAATTTAAAATTATCCACACACTAGGAAATAGAACTGTGTTAATATATAAGAAATTGGGGAATAATAAGAATGAAGGATTTTTCTATCATTTTCATTTTATAAATTGCCACCTGTGAAAATGATTTTTGCACATTATTTGTATTTTTTCTTTGTATATGAAATAATTTTTGTACTTTGTAAAATATGGAGCCCATTGTACCTTCAGCTATTTGAGACTGTACACAGTGCTTCTTTTATAACTGGATTCTTTTAACTTTCGTAAAGGTGTTACATGCCTTACATTCACTAACCATCTTGAATTAAATTTATTTCTTAAGAAAAAGCATCCTCATTTGCTGTGAAATAAAACTCACTATGTAGTGCACAGTGCTCAGAAGGCAACATTCAGGATTTATGTATGAGACTAAAAGTTCAAGGGTGAAACGGCCCATTGCGGGCCTTGCTTACGAGGTCAGTAGACACACTGGACTCGCTGGCCTGAGCTTCGGGGCTCTGGACACACCGCCGCCGAGTTTAGGTAAGAGACCTGAAGCCGCTCTTCCCGCCCTGTGCCTTTCATGAGCGGTGTGCAATTGGTGGGGTCCTTTATGTCTTCTGGGTATATGGCCATTTGTGAGAACTTTAGGCAGGATAATCTGAACTCTAGTCGGGTGGCTGGCTTTTCCGTTCCAGGAAGTCATTAGCACAAATGAAGGCTCGGCGATTTCAGTTCTGGACAACGCTTCTTCTAGTTAAACCCTTGAGTTCACCTTGGGGACTGTAGCTACATCTCCACATGGAGCCAACAGAATGCAGCTTCTCACCTCAGGGCTGAACCGCTAAGTCTTTTGATATCCAGGAGCCCTCTGTGAGCCAGGCAGAACGGCCCCCGGAGCCTTCAGATTCCCTCAGTCTAGAGGCTCAGGTGATCCAGGCGGGGGCCCTCAGGCTTCACTGGTCCCAGGATTCTGCCCCCGCCCCTCAAATAGCTGTGTCCCTGCAATTCAATCACAAGGGAAACCACTGAGATTGGGGGTTCAGCACAAGAATATCCAGATGCCCTTCATTCCTCAGGTCTTAGCTGTGAGGGGGAGAAGAGCACTGGATTCCAAGGAAAAAAGACTACGGCCTGGCCCCTTATAAGAAGCCTATCCACCACCCCTCGCCTGTGGCGCCTGTAACAAAGCCATTCTACAGCTGGGCTCTTGAAAGAGGCAGATCTTGAAAGGAGCGCATTGTGCAGGTCCTGCTCCCTAAACCCTGAGCCCAAGTTCTTTAGTCTCACTTCCCAAAGCCCTCCACCCAGTGGCCTCCATTCCAGAGCTAGAGCTTAAACTGTTAATGGCCCGGCACGTTTGCTTCTCAACAGAAATTGACATTTCTAGATATTTCATTGGGGGTTCTCTTAAGAGTTATTAAGTAACCCCATCATCCCATAAAGAATTTCTGAACAATGTCAAGCTGGTAACAAGCAACAGCAACTGGAGCTATGAATTAAGCAAAGAATAAGGCAGTATTGATGAAGAGAGAGGGCTTCCAGCAGCACTGTCAAATAGATACAAATGCAAGCCATATAATGTATCTTTTTTAAAGTAAAAAGAAATAGATGGAATTGATTTTAATAACATTTCATCTTATTTTTTATATATTTTACTTAACCCAGTATATCAAAAATATTATTTCAACATGTAATCAATCTAAAAAATTATTAATGCTATATCCTCATGCAGTTTACTCATTTCCCTTAGACCCACTCAGGCTCAGTCCCAGAGGTAGTATTTCCATCTTATGGACTGCTGCCAGGCCCATCCGTTTTTAGTACGTGATGCATCCAACAGAACCCAAATCATAATGGACAGTTTCAGATGTCCCTTTTGGTGTACGGTGGTCAAGTGTTCTGTCTCTACCAGAGCCTGGTAACATGCTAGAAACTGTTTCTCAGAAGGTGTGTAATTCGCTGTTGCTGATAGCGCGGCCCTGCCGTGGCCTCCCAGGGGCCTGCTTCGGGATTCTCCCACTGGGACTTGCCATGAGCTCTGTACTACATCTTTCCCCGTCCCCGTTGCTGACACTCCCAACACCTCCAGCTTCCAGGCACGGTAGCCTGGCCCTGTTGCAGAGCCTCTGTTGTGGGACCTACCTGCAGCCGGCAGCTCTACACCTCACCCAGAATACTGTGTTGTCCCTGAGCCCAAAGACACTGTGCTTTCCTCACGGCGGCAAGAGATACAAGATACAACAATTTCTCTTACTCATTACTTTCACTTTCTTTCCCTGGCCACTGAACCCCTTAAAAACTTCATTAAAGGGGCAGGTCCTTAAATCTTCATCGGTTTTCTATGCTACACTCTGGAGTGTGTGTGACTGTGCCATGGCCTCCAGGATAGGACACCTCTTACTCATCCTGCCTGATCAGCACGGGGTCATTGATGTAATGGATCAGTGTGATGTTCTGTGGGATATCCACATGGCCCTGATCTCTTGAGATGACATTAAGACAGAGGGCAAGGCAGTTTACACAACCCTGAGGCAAAACTATAAGTGAGTATTATTGTCAATCCCATGTGATTATGAACTGTTTCTGATCCCCTTTTCTAATTGGAATGGAAAAGAACACATTGACCAAATGACTGCAGACCACATACCTAGGGCCTTACTAATCAGCTCTAGCAGTGATCCCGTCTCTGGCACAGCATCAGCGAGCGCGGCTCCTCCTTGGCGCAGCCAGAGGCAGTCCAGCTAGTCCTCGTCCGGGGTCCGTCGGATTCACGCAGAGGTCAGGTGGGTGACTTAAATGGAGAAACAGTAGGGACCACCACCCCTTCATCCTTGAAGTTGTTAATGGTGGCATTACTTTCTGCCATATCCCCTGGTATGAGATTTTTTTATTTACTATTTGGGGCAAGGCAAGGGAGCCGGGAGAAAGCAGTTTCAGAAGCTTGCACTTGGCTTTCTCTACTATGATTGCTCCCACGAAGTAAGCCAGTGACCTGATGTGGGGGTCACTGCCCCTGTCAGAGCACGTGAGTTCTGACTAAGCACTCAGGTACAAGGGACTGGTGGCAGCTTCGGACCCAGCCAGACCTTAGCCGTGACTCTCCTCTTCCCTGACCTCCAGGGGCCCCATTCTGAAAAAGGGCCCATGACGATGCTTTGAGTCTCAGGTGTTCATGTCAGCTAAAACTCCGGTGTCTACTAGTCCCTTTTCTCTAGTGAACAGTCCCCCAAATAAACAGTTTTCTCTGGGAGAAAACTTCAGGAATCACCGTACATACTTGCTGCACTTTTGCAAGGTCCTTCCTCCTAGACCCCTGGTCCCTCTTTAGACTACGGGTTCCAGATCTGCAAATTGGCTCAGGCCTGGGAACTGAGCAGGGGACCAAGGCTTTCCATTGTGCCTGCCCCCTGCACCTCCATTCCTGTCTGCTTTTTTCATTATAGTTATTAAGCAGAGCCTTACTGGCTGCCGGTTTGCCCGTAGGGACACCATGCTCCCTGTGCCTTCTCCACAACTTTCTGTGCGTTGAACCCCTTTGCCTACCCCTCCGCCATTACTGGCCTTACATAATATATCCATTCCAGCCCACCCACTTCTGCCAGCTTCTTTTATTTCTTCTTTACCATCTGCTAGGAAAACTCCGGTATTTCCATTTCACTGAGTGCTGGCCACTGCTTTTTCCAGACTTCTAAGAGCCACCCCCAGCAGAATCTGCCCTATCACCTCGTGTCCCATCCAGGGTATTAAATCTGTGTCTCAAGAAAGTGCCCCCAAATCCATGAATTCTTGCTTATCCAGTCTTACATTCCAGCCCCCTTAATCAAGCGTTCCCAAAATCCAATTCCAGGAGCATTCCTCTAGCTCCTGCCAGTGTCTGTCTGTGGTAGTTACTATTCTTTCATGTATACTCTCTTTCCTTCACTAGCAGGCCCAGTATGTCTCCAGCTGGATTATTCTGGAATTCAACCCCTAATTACGGTCCTTGGCTAGCAGGGGAGAAAGTGGGGGCCACTCCCGAGAAGGTACCTGTTGCCCGGCAGGGGTGAGGCCTCTGTGGCATCCGTGAGCACAGCAGAGGTGCTGGCTCTTAGGAGGAGGGGGGGCCAACTCTGTAAGCCTAGAGGGTCAGGAAGGCTGCAGCACTCGCATCCTCCGGGGCCTCCATCCTGATGTCTTTATCTCGCATTGCAGGGTTCCAGACTTTCCCCACCAGGGCCTGACCTTCACATAACTACCTTGGCTGAGCATTCATACTTATCTGTGCAACTCTTATCTTCAGCCTGCCACTCAGCTATGTCTGTCCTCCACTGCCAGAGATAAGTGCTTCTTTGTCAGCTTCCATGGAGGCTTGCAGGCTGGCACACTTGCCCAGCAACTGCTTTTACGTGGCCAGTGGTCCCTCTGCAGACCATCAGCCTGCGCTCACGGTAACCAGCCAATTTGGGGGGCATTGTTCCACCTCCCTCCCCGCCGCCTTATTTTTTAAATGCCTGGATGATCACACCTACCATAACATTCCCCTCCCCTAGGATGTTTCCCGGGGTCCTCACCAGTGAACTCTTCAGCATTTGAGCCACTACCTTGCTCTAGGGACTATATGGCACCCCATCAACCAGGATGGCATCCTCTTCCCCATCCCCTCTGAGACAGTCCCAAATCCCCATCTTGCCACTGTTTCCTCGGACCACTTGTGGTGGTCCTGGTCCTTCTACAAAGATAGGACTCGCTATGTGCAAAAGACTTACGGGGGGGGAGCACGCATGAGGGAAGATGAGCAGGGCACAGTTCGGCGGCAGGTTGGGATGTAGGTTTGACCCCTGTGAACAAGAGACAGAAGGATGGAAGGTGGAATGGAAGAGTCTGAGGCTGCAGTTCGGATCTAGAAGGAGCAAGGCCAACGGGGAGCCCTTGTGCCAAGACCGTCTGTCAGAGAAACCTTGTATCTCCCAAGAAGGAACCCACCTTAGTCATTGGCCGAGAGCAGCCTGTGGGCCTCAGCGCAAACCCTGAGGATATCAGAGCGCAGCCACAGGGGCCAGTCTGAAATCTGAGAGGTGCATTTTCACGGCCACCACCCAGGTTCTAGGGGTTTCTCTCCATTGGAGCTCTAGACCCAAAGGAACAAAGGTGTCTGCATTTCCCACCTGACGGCAGTATATACAGAAGCTCTCAGCTCTGTCACGTACTAGCTTTTTTGGCCTAACTTCTCTAGCCTTATATTCCTCACCTATAAAATGGGAATAGAAGTTGTGATGATATGTATGAAAGTACCCAGCACAAATGAATTCTCAATATATCATTTGATTGAATCAGATTTATTCAAATACGTAACAAACACCTAGTACAGGCTGGGTCCCGAGGAGTCTCTGGATGAGTAAGAGACAGACATGCCCAAAGAGTCAGAAAGAGACAGACCGTCTGTGGTGTGCAGAATAATGCCCACCACCCCCGAACACATCACGGCCACATCCCCAGAATTTGTGAACATGCTACCTGATGCGGCAAAGGAGAATTAGGGTTGCAGATGAAATTAAGTCTGCGGGAATCAGCTGACCTCAAGAGATCTTCCTGACGCACCCAGCGTCATCACAAATGTCCTTATAAGTGGAGGAAGGAGGCGGAAGTGAGTGACAGAGAGACGCAACACAAGAGACATGGCCAGTCACTGCAGGCTTTGAAGATGGAAGGGGCCAAGGAATGTGGGCAGCCTCTGGAAGCTGGAAAAGGCAAGAAAACATCCTCCCTCAAAGCCTCCAGAAGGAATGCAGCCCTGCAAACACCTGGAGGTTTGCCCAGTGAGACCCATTTGGACTTCAGACCTTCAGAACCGTAAGATAATAAATCTGGGTTTTTTATTTTGTTACATAAGTTAACACATTTATTACAGGCTAGCGATGTTTCAAATGGTGGAGCTTCTACTGGTCTTTCAACTCCTCAGTCTTCAGATGGCGGACTTTACTGTGATGGCAGGAATGGTTCTGTGGGTCCAGGCACCACCTGTCTTAGGTTTTCAGGCACGAACCCCGACGCCAGATCCCCGCAGCTCGTCTCTTTGTCTTGGTTTTGCCACAGGAGGAACAGGTGTACTTGGCATGCTGGCTTATTTCAGCTTTCCTCACCATTTTCCTGAGGGAGGCACCACAACAGATCCCACATTTAGCAGCAATCCTGCCCTTCTTGGTGCGCTTAGCCATGTCACCACAGACAACAGACGAGGGCATGCCTGCTCACACACGTGCCCACCCTAGTGACACAGGCCCACCTGTCACCTACAGTCCACCTGTTTCTGGCGACCTCTCTCAACATCCACATTTCCTAGGGGCAGCTGAGTTTGGCAGGTGGGGTTGGGGGTCCCTGCTGTGACCCCATCACTAGAGGCCTCACCAGTGGGAGGCAGCTGGAGGTCATTTCACTGTGGGGGCTTCAGTAGGCGAGGTGCCAGGGCAAGGCTGACCGGGCTCGCGTTTCCCCGAAACCTCCCTCTGTGGGATGGAGCCTACCATGAACGGGGCAGTCACCCAAAACCACAGAGGGTCCCATTATTCATTCAGTCAGTACATTTATTGGTACTTGCTGTGTGAGTGCCTGTTCCGAGACTACTTTGGACCCCAAGTCAAAGAAGCCATTACGCACACCTGCAAGGTCAGCTGTGCAGGTGGGGACAGCTAGGGGCTGGCAGAAAAATGGGAGGAGACCCTAGCCCAGCCCCGGGGCGTCAGAGAAGACCTTCCAGTGTGAAAAACTGACGTGACTGGAGTCGTTTGAAAACAGGGTCGCGAGAATCCGCCTCACCTGCCCGTGTTTGACCCGGGCAACGCGCCTGTTGTTTGCAATCGTCCACAGAGTCAACAGGACAGCAGGCCTCCTGGCCATAAAGCTGTTGGCTGTGGGCTTTGGGAAGACGGAGCAGGTCACTAAAGCATACCAGGAATAGTTCCGTTTGTTAACCCAATAGTCAATCAGTGTGCACCCCACAGCAGTGCGGCCTAGCAGCACCGAGTCACGGGATCCCCCCCTTCCTCTCTCTGGTGAAGCCCCTTGCTCTCGTCCGAAGGCAGGACACTTCTCTGGTTACAGCCAGAGTCTGTGCCCCCCCCACTGCAATTCTTGGGTCTCAAATACACACTCGTTTGCCTCTTGTTGTGGCTCTTCATTTTCAGGTTAACACCTGAATACATGACGTGGAGGCTGTCTTAGGACAAGAAGGAGCTGGCTGGGCAAAGGGGAAGGGAGGAGGGCAAGGAAAGGCAGTTAAGCCAGGACGGGACATGTGTTTAGAAAGCTCTGCCTGGTGAAGATGCGCAGGGGGACTGGGAAGGCGGGTGCAGCCAGGGGCTGTTGTGGTTGTTCAGATCTGAGAAGGCAGGCAGCGGGGCTGGAGAGACATACCCGAGGTGGCATGTGTAGAGGGGCCTACCTGCTGGGGACAGTGGGGAGAGAGGGGAGAGGGACAGGACTGTCAGGTTGGTGCCCGAGAGACCTGAAAACGGCCACAGCCTCCGAGTCCAGTGGAGGAAAGACGGCCAGGCAGACAGCAGAAGCCCGGGCCCTGGCCCCACGGGCAGGCCGCACACTTCCACAGGGGCCCTGCTGGGGGGGTGGGGGCACAGCACTGCCAGGCTCTGGGAGGGCTAGTGTCCCACAGCGTCAGGCAGGCGGCCCCCTGCCCAAGTCACAGACACACGGTGCGACTTGATGGAGAGAAATCGAGTAGCCACTCTGCTCTGCAGCTGAGGGCTCCCTGCTTTGGAGAGAGAGGTCGGATGCCCAGGTCGGACGGTAGTGTCTGATGGAGACGGGCTTGAACGCAGGCCTGAGCGACTATGTCCCGCTCTCACCCTCCCCAGCCATCATCCTTCAACCAGGCCAGTCTTGGCACCAGAGAAAGGAGATTAGCGGGGACCCGTGAGCGCCACCTCTCACCCAGCCAGGCCAGGCCACTTAGAGGGCCATCCAAGGCCAGGAGCACACTGCCATGACGTCACCCTCCTGGGGACTTGACCAGGACATCAAGTTTCCTCTGCAGGTGGAATGAGCTAGGGCCTCCAGGAGAGGACAGAGGGGCCCATAGCTGACTCAGCACCCTTACATTCTCTCCACACGGGCCACACACCCCACAGACCACCTGAGAAGCATATATCCCTGTCTGGAAGCGAGGGTTCCTGCCTCCCTGCCAAGAAGAGCACAGGCCTAGCCCAGCTCGTCCCCCACTGTCATACAGCTCAGCAAAGCTGGGCCTTCCAGGAAACGCACGCCTGGCCCGAAGAAATAAGAGTTCAGGGCTTAGAACAGGGACGTTCATGTGATCCTGGTGAGAGCTGGTCCTGTCTAAGCCTGTTTCCTCATCCGAAATATGAGGCTGGGCTCATTTACCCCAAAGCTTCAGCAGCTGTGACGCTCTTTCTGTGTCTGCTCTACAGTCTCTGGCCCCATCCCAGCTGAAGGGTTGGACACCAGATGCCTGGTCCCTGCAGAGAGCCCCCGACTCTGGCCTCGGAGATCCACCTCCTCACTCCCCGCAGGTCCCCCGAGGTTCGAGGTTCAGTGCAGCCCCAGCCAGAGGAATGTGAGCCATTCCCGGCATCTCCTCCCCTGTGGCCAGCCCAGAGAGGGTCTGGGGCCTCTGGGCCATTCTGACAGGAAATTAGCTGGGCCTGGCCTTCCCCACTACCAGCTGCTCTGCTGACCCTGACCCTGTGTTTTCTGAAACCCGATACTGCAAATTTCAGAGCCTCCTCTCCATTCCCAAGGAGGCCTGGGTGAGCTCTGTGTCTAACCTCCAGCCTGCATGAGGGTTAGCCTTCCTGCCCTGGGAACTCCAGCCCTGCCATGACCCTCAGCAGGCCCTACTCTGTCTAGGAGACTGGTGTCCCCATGTCTGAGGCTTCAGGCAGAGCCCATGTGCAGAGGGCCTACAACATGGAAAATGGCTTAGAGGGAGGCAAGTGGGAAGGGATGTGGAGAGACCACGTTAGGGGCTGTTGCGGTCCAGCAGATGAGTGGCCGTGGTTAGGATTAGGAAGGGGCAGTGAAGATGTGAAGAACTGGGCAGAGCCCAGAGCTATGGAGGCAATAGGAAGAAGGGGGGGCGGGCAGTGTTAGCCTGGCCATGGAGGCTGCAGGGAGAGGTGTCCGAGGCCCCTTAGTTTCTTGAGTTGCAAAGCCTCTTGCGGAGACAGGGAGCACCAGGGGCTGAGCAGCCCTGTCGCGGAGGAGAAAGGGCCCCAAGTTTGCCTTGGATCATACAGGCTAAGGTGACTTTCAGATGTCCTAGTGAGCATTTGGATAGAGAGAGGAATGAGCTGGAAATGCACACTAGGGAGGCAGGAAAGTAGATGGTAACCCAAGCTGAGAGGCGGACAGGGGTGCCACAGGCGGGAGTTCAGAGAAGAGAGCCAGCCTGCGCCCAAGGACACTAATGCTGAGTGGCCTGTGCGGGGTGGACCCGGAGGGAGCGGTGAGGAGCGGCCGAGAACCACCCAAGAATGCTGCGCCCCCAAGGAACGGAGAAGGGCGGTTCAAGGGGCCAGTGCTGGAAGCTGCTGGACGACTAGGAAGAGGAGGGTCCTGGGTCACTGACGACTTCAGGGCGCGCGCTCTAGGGGAGTGAGGGGCCGATTAGGCAGGCTGCAGTGGGCTGGGAGGCCGTGAGAGGTGCGCAGCAGAGCGGCCTGGGGAGAACTGCCCCGTGCAGCGGCAGGGGGGCTGTGGAGTCAGACAGGATCTGGCTTGTTCGCGTTTAGGGCGAGCGAGACGCGAGCGTGTTTACACGTAGCCGCCGAGGGCCCTGCCACCGAGGCGTTGATAATACCGCGAAAGCAGGGACGACCCCCAGAAAGGTGGCCTGGAGCCCGCCGGGGCCTTGCGAAGGCGACTCCGCGCCTCAGGGGCCGAGCTAGAGGGACGGGCGAGCGCGGCCGCCGCGGGGCGCTGTCCTCTCCCTGCCGCCAGCCCCCAGCCACGCTGCCCGGGCTCCCCGCCGCCCCCGCCCCCGCCCCGCGCACGCACGCACACGCACACGCACGCACGCGCGTCTTAAGGCTTGGGGAGCCCGGCATAAAACTCGGCTCCTAACGGGTCGTCTGTACTGGGGATGACGGACGTAGACAGTCACACACACGCTTCTCGTCGGGGTGTGGGTTTCCCTGAGAAGTCGGGTCGCGTCCAGCGCCAGGTTCCATCCGGAACGACGGCAAGCTACTGTTGCACTGAGCTTTCCACTCACGGGTTTTCTACGAAGCCCGCCGTTCGCCTCTGCCTGGAAAGAGCCGGGAGCCAGCGCCGCCGCGAGCAGCGCCCTCGTCCCCGCGTCCCCGCGCTAAGCCCCCGCTCCCGGAGACACGGGCAGGCGCGGTGCCGAAGGGCGGAGCTGGATGGCCACGTCGCACCCCGGCCCTCCCTGTGCGCAGCGGAGCTGAGCGGGGCACGTCACCCGGGGGGGCACGGAGACACCGGTGGTGAGCGGGAGCCTCGCCGTTCCCGAGCTCTCCGCGGCTCCTGCCAGCACCCGCTCTGGCTTCAGACACGCTCTCACCCAGTGTCTCGTGATTTCCCTCCAGCCTCTCGGCCACTCCGCCCAGGGCGCCCGTGCTGCCTGTTGCCCCCAACCGCCCCGGACCCCGTCTTTTCTCTGCCCCTTCGCTGGACGGCTGGCGCGGAGTGCCGCCTCATCGTCGTCGCAACTCAGGCCGAAGGCGCTTCGCGAGCCCCGGCTGCCTCCGGACGCCCCCACCCGAGCACGCAGAGGCGCCCTGACCGTGTGACAGGTGCACCTCCTCTCCCAGCACTCCCTGCCCGCCGAAGCAGCAGCCTTGCTTCTCTTCCTCGGAAACGGGAACTCCTTACACTTGCCCTGGCCACAGGCTGAGTCGTCCTCGACGGAATGTTCCCTGCTCTCACACTCACAGCTGACCCAACTTCAAAGTACACCCTCAAGCTGTCCACTTGTCACCTTCGCCACCGCCAACCTGGCCCACCTCTCACCTGGGCTTGTGCAGGAGCGTCCTCAGCAGTCTCCTCCACCCAACAGTGGCTAGGGGGCCCCTAGAAATGAAAGCTCAGGGCATCCTCTGTCCAGCCCCCCCGCCCCCGGTGCCATTCCCTCTTCCTTGGACTGGACCTTACAACAGCTTACAAAACCTGTGGCAACCCCTCCCTCTGCGCCCGTCCGGCCTCTTCTCCGGCCATGGGCCCCTTGCTCATCTGCACCAGCCGCCACCACCACAACTGTGCTGCCCTCTTCCTAGGACACTCCTCCCGCACACTTGGCTGAGCTCACCCCTCACTTCCCTCCGCTCTCTGCCCAGAGACGCTCCGCGGCATGTGCGCATGTGCGTGACAGCCCCCAGCCCTGGCTTGGCCCCCCGCGCTCATCGCCCGCTCTGCGGTGTCCACAGCATCGCGTCTCACGCTCAGGTGCCGGCCTGTCCCCGCCTCAGAAAGCAGGCTTTGTGAGGGCTGTAACTTCCTGTTCGCAGTCTGCCTCTCAGCACATGGAAGCGTGGTCGAGGTACAAACATGCACATAAATAAGCACTAATAAAAACTTGCGGGCGGAGCAAGAGTAGCTGAGAGGATGGCCGCTGGGCACAGGGGAGGGCGCCCAACCAGCTGAGGGAGGATGGGAAGGACAGACTGAGAGATCCACAAAGGATGGAGAGAAGGGTGCCCTTCCTGACCTGCCAGGTCCAACCTGCAGGAGGCTTGTATGTTGGTGAGGTCTGCAGCTGGTTTTATCCTCAACTGTCTCCCGCCTCTTCCCTGATGATACAGGTGTCTGTTCCTTGCAACCAAAATAGTCTTGACTCAAGCACTATCCTTCCACCCACCCTCCACATCTCCACCCTCCATCAAGCCTCCCAACCATCTAGACATCTAGTCATCTGTCTGCAAGTCAAACAGCCCACCAGGCCCTTCATCCGCAAGAGCGCCTGCCTGCCCGGGGCCCACCCACCCACCTGTCAGAACCAACAACTGTCCCTCTACACGTCAGCCCCTCAAAACACACATGGTAGAGTGGGGCCAGATCATGAAGGGTCTTGAACACCAGCTAAACAGTGGGGAGCTATGGAAGAATTTTGAGCAGCAAAGTTATATAATCAGATCTGTATTTTAGAAATGGAACACTGGCAGTTGTGAAGAAGATGGATTAGAGGAGGAAATCTAAAGCAGGAAGACCGGTTGGGGTAATAATCCAATATTCCAGATGATGAAATAGGGCAGAAGGAGAGTGGCTAGGGAAAGGAAGATTTGAGAAGACAGGGGAGCAGCCCTGGGAGCAGGCTTGCCCAGATGGGGGACCATCTAATGGGCCTTGGCTTGGCAACCCCCAGGTGGGCCAGCTCTCAGGTGCGGCTGGGCCTCCTGCACATCTGGCCCCAGAAGTTCAAGACAGCCAGTTCCCAGGGGCCCAGCCCAGAACCAGTCCTTTCTGGGCCCATCTACAGAGCCCTCTGCCCTATAGCTCGAGGCCCTGAGCAAGTGGTATTTCCAGAGTACACTGTCACCACCAACTCCAGTGTCACAGCTCAGCCCAGGCTGCAGAAAGCTGGGGCCTCTTCTCTGTTTTCTCCAACTCCTCGGAGGCTGGGCCTCAGGCCCAGTGAAGTCACAGTTTGGGAGGCAGCCCTGGCTCCCTGCCACCCATGGAGGCTATATTTGGAGCAAGACAACTCCCTACAGACATAGACTAGGGACCCACCCTGCAGCGCTGCCCCAACAATTTTACCTATCCAAGCGGTGTGAGTGTCACTCACATTTTCACGTACTTATTCATTCATTCGGTCCCTCATTTATTCATTCCCCATGTAGTTGCTGACCCCCTCGTAGGACGGGGCAGGCAGGATGTATGGTGGGCACGTGTATGCGTGCGAGTATCTGTGGCAATCTGTGTTGAAAGAGGGATGGCAGAACATACTCTCCGTGCCCTCCCCAGGGTTCCACGGTGTCCGTGACTCAGGATCAGGTGTCAGCGGTGTCTGCGGGCACCTGCGAGCGTGTGCGTGCAGGCAGGCGCTCGCCGAGGAGGCAGCTATGACTCAGCCGCACACGGCGTCTGTACCGTACCTGCGCGGAGAGGACTGTGTGTGCCGGCACGAGCCCTTGTCCCCAGGGTGGGGGGTGGGAAGCGGTGGTGACTAACTCGGCTGCATTCGGTGACTGGGTGCCCACAGGCCAGCTGCGACTTTACACCTTGCTCACTTGCCAAGCCAAACAGCCAGTGCTGGGTGCGAATATTCTGCACAGAGTGTGCAGGGGACAAAGTCCCAAGTCAGCGGGTAAGCGATCGGGGCCCAGCTGCGTCTGCCCCTCCCCTGGCATAGGGCCCGCATCTCAACCTCTCCCCCCGGCCTCCTGGAGTCTAGGAGACTGTGCCTCATGCAGACTCCTCCGTCCCCCTCACCTGCCAGTCCCAGGTCTGCGTGCGTTAGGAGCCAGGCGGAGAGGCACCAAGCTGCCAGCCCAACCCATTTTCCTCCCACACCCCACACCCCAAGCCCCTTCTGTTTTCAGCCATGATCGCTTCTTTCTCCATCTCCCAGGCGCAACCGTAGAAAGCACAACCCCGGGAGCGTTTCCGATCTCTGGGGCTCCGGACCCACGGCCTCGGCACTGCCGGGTCCTTCCCGGTCTCTTCCTCTGTGTTCCTTGCCCTGTCTATCCCTGGCTGTCTCTCTCCTTATCTGCCCAAGGGTCTATCTTTGTCTCTTTCCGAGGCCGACTGTCTGCAGCGGAGGCTTCACAGGAGTGGAGGTGCTGACAGGGTGGGGGGTGTGGGGAGACCACTCTGTGTCCCTTCTTGAGCCTTATCAGGAAAATTGAAGTTACTGCTCAGGGCTCGGGCTGGAATTTCGCCCCGGATGACCTCGCTCCGTTTGCCGGGGCCTCCGCAGGGACAGCCAGGGTCAGACCAGGCAGGAAACAGGCCCCTGCTTGTTGGCTGCTCCCCCTCCCTCGTCACCCACTCTCATCCCCGCCCCCGGCCCCCAGCCAAGCCTGTCCACAGAGGACACGGAGGGGAGAGAGCCGCCCCTTCCTAGGCTCTTACAGGAACAGGGCCCGGGCTATGTGCGTGCTGGGGGCAGCGGGGAGGGGTGAGTCATGACCAGAATGCCTCAAGCTACCCAGCAGGGCACTCCCCAGGCCCCCAAAAGGAAACCTCAGGGCCCGAGGAGGAAGGGGGCTCCCCCACCTTCTCCCCTCATGGCTTCCAGGCAGGCCTGCACTGCAGGCGTGTGGTACATGCCAAGGGGCTGGGGGAGCCTCGGAGTCGGGACACCTGGGTTTTGTCCCCCATCCGTCACTGCCTGCCCTTGGCCAGTTCCCTGTCTCAACCCCGTCTTCTTCATCTGTAAAGTTGGGGGGGGGGGACGCCACCTTTTTGGGCTGTTGAAGACACAGTGGGGCGGCTCCGGTAGGCTCGGCGTCCGTGGGTTTCCTCAGCCCTTGGCGGACACGGCCGCGACCCGCGGGCGCTCCCACCCGCCCCGACAGGACCGACCCTGCCGCGGGCGGGACGAGGGCCGGCGGGGCGGCCCGGGCGGCCGGGAGCGTGGCCGCGGCGCACGCCTGCCACCTGGCGGCCTCCAGCGGCGTCGCCCAGGCCACCGGCCCGCGTCCCCGGCTCCGCCTCGCCGTGCGCCAGGCCACAGGCTCATTGCCCCAAAGGCGTCAACAGCTCACTGCCCCTGGGTCTGCGCCGCTTCAGGACCTGCCGGGGAGGTCTGGATAAGGGGGATCGTCCCTTACGGGGGCGAGCATGTCCCTCCTTACAGCCGAAAGTAGGCCTGAGAACCCCGGTCCATTGTCCCTGGAGGGTGGGGTTATAGCGGTATTGTATTCTCTCGGCATACCTCCTTTGTCTCCATTTTCCACATTGGGTGTGTATTACTTTGCGATGAAAAAAAAACTACAAACGTTATTTTTAAAAGATTTTATTTATTTGAGGGGGGTGGGGGGCTGCAGAGGGAAAGGGAGAGAGAGAATCCCAAGAGGTTGCTGCACCCAGCTTGGAGCCAGATGCAGGGCTCTGACCCACCACCCTGAGATCATGATCTGAGCCAAAATCAAGAGTCAGTTGCTTAACTGACTGAGCCACCCAAGCGCCCCCAAAAATCAGGGAAAGAGGGGGCCCAATTAGCTTGTCCATCAGGGAATTTGGGAAGGCTTTCTAGTATCTCTATTGGGAGAAATGGAGACTAGGATTTGAGACTAGGATTGATGGTCCATCCTTCACGTAAGCTGGTATTAACTCTCTTTAGAAGAACGGCAAGAAAAAGTAGCCCCAGCCTCAGGACAGGGTGGGATAAACGCTCTAAACGGACCAGAAATTCTGTAGAAGAGAGTTGCTTGCAGTTCAGTCATGTTGTCTCCTGTGAGCTCTGATCGGGCCCAGGGGACTATAACCAGGACATATTTGAGGACAACTTTGGGGCATTAAAAAGTCAGCCTCTACTAAGGACTTACTAGGTGTCAATATAGCCATGAGGAGGCTCCCCTGCCCTTAAGGAGCCTTGGGCTCCGGCGCCTGGGGGCGCTCAGTCAGTTAAGCGTCTGCCTTTGGCTCAGGTCATGATCCCAGGGTCCTGGGATGGAGCCCCACAGGGGCCTCTCTGCTCCACAGGGAGTCTGCTTCTCCCTCTCTCTGTGTGATCTCTCTAGATCTCACTCTCTCTAATAAATAAATAAAATCTTAAAAAAAAAAAAAAGGAGGCTTGGGCTCACCTCTGAGAAAGTTCACCAGGGCTGGAGTGCAGTGGGGAGCCTCACCCCACAGAAGTGGCAGCGGGAGCAGCAGCTGGGGGAGGCCCTGGGAGGAGAGTGGAGAACAGCTCTGGCTTCCACGGGATCCCAGAGGGGAAAGCAGAGGGCAGGGGTCCTGGGGCTCCTGGGAGGTGGCAGTCCCAGGCCCTTGAGATCCACTTCAGAGCCTGGTCGCAGCCCTCCAAAGGGCCGCTGTGACTGGGAAGTGGGAGTCTCGCTGGACAGAAGCCATCCACCGTAGGACCACCGCCATGCAAACATTTGCCAAGTACCTGCCTTTGCGGGACACCTGCCTATGGAAATGCAAAGAGAGCACTCTCCAGTAGCTTTGCATCACCACCTACCTCAGTCACCTGCAGAATTTTCTCAGAACTTGCCAGTTCACCAGCAGCATCTCTATTATGTGTCCTGGCCCAGCCAAGATGGAAAACCCCTTCACCACCGGACTTTCCGAAGAAAATACGCCAGGATGAGACATGGCGGGCGGGGGTTGGGGGGAAAGTTCGTCTCTGTCCTGTGGAGAAACCTGAACAGGTTGATATTCCCTCACCAGTGATGGACAGATGAACATCATGTGCCTCCAGGTGTGACATCCTCAGAAGGACACATGACCTGTGCAGGACCCCCTCTGAGAATACAGAATCTAACTCAGGGTGACACAGTAAGTTAGAACCATTAGAACCCAGGTCTGTGTCACTCTGAAGTCCAGCCTCCTTTCCAACTCAGTAATTTTGAAGGCCAAGCACTGGCTACTTGTAATCTCAGGCTGTGAGGGCAGCCACACTAGAAAGAAGCCATTCACCCTGTCCCTTCAGCCAACTGTGCTGTGGGAGGTACAGGGCCTTGGGACTCAGGGGTGAAATCTTCTACACACCTTTTTGTATTCCCTGTGTGTTCTGATGCAAATGGCCTCCAAATGGGAACAGAGAGCCCAGTTTGGCAGCATTGGACAGTGGCCTGATTCCTCTTCTCACGTGGGAGGCGGCAGCTGGGCCTGGGCTTCTGAGGGGAGCAGAGGGACACCTGAGTGTGGAGGTGGCAGGGATCCCGGCCCCCCTGAACCCAGCCTCTGAGCTCACAGTGCGTCTTCCCAGGGGATCTGGCCCAGGATGGCCCATCAGGAGGGCAGAGCACCTGAGATCAGTGAGCGGGGGGGGGAGACACGGACATACCAAGTGGGGCCCAGGGAGGCCTGCTCCAGAAATCTAGTGCGGGCTGCAGGTCAGAGCGGAGTTTTGGCTGAGGGGAAGAGGCAGGGTAGCACGAGACAGGAAATGAGGGGTTCGGATGGGGAGGAAGAGTCAGCTGCTAGCCTCAGGGGCTGAATGGAATGGGGGCTGCCTGCCCCTCCCCACTCCTCACGCCTTGCTGGCTCTCAGCCAGGCCCTGTGGACCACTGTTGAGGAGGTGGACACAAGCAGGGGGGAGGGCCTGCATTCCTGTGGGTGCACAACCCTAAGAAACAGTGTGCTGCGTCTACGTGGTGGGGACGGAAGGGGAATGAGGCTAGCTCTCGCTGGAATTTAGTGTGTGCCACAGCTTAGCCACGGCACGGGGCCGAACACTCAGCAACCACAGGCCAGCAGAAGCGGAGCGCAGGACTGGAGCGGTCACGGCCCTCCTTCCATAGCAAGGTGAAGCACGGACATGCAACTGGCTGAGTGATGGGGACAGAAACACATCGAGATGAGCATGTTTGATGTCCAAATGTAAAGGGGAGGCAGGGGGTGTAATGAACCACATCCTGGAAGAGGCATTCCAGTATGGACTTGGCTCATCCGCTTCCAGGTCCTTCTCTGCAAAGTGAGGAGTTTGGACCCACTGTGAACAGTACAAATCTTGTGTCAGGTTGATACATTTTACTTATAGAACAACTACGCATTTCCAGCATCCCAGAAGGTTCACTTACGCTCTTTTGCAATCAACAACCACCCCTCCTACCCCAAGGTCACTGTACTTCTGACTTGGAAATCCACAGATTAGCTTTGCTGGTTCCAGAAATTACTATAATCGCACAGAATGTTCTCTGGTTTCTTTGCTCAACATGATGTCTGTGAGATTCATTCATGCTGTTGCATCTCTCAGTGATGTGTTATTTCTAATTACAATGTAGTGTCCTTTGAATACACCAATTCATTGATCTCCTCCCTGCTGGTGGGCATTGGGTGGTTTCGGTTTGGGCCGTCCTAAGCAAAGCTGCTGTGAACGACCCTCCCTGTAGGGTCTTGGTGACACGTGCCTCAGTTCTCCTGGGGGTAGAACCGCTGGGTACATGTTGTTTTTAGCTCTAGTGGATATTACCAAATAGCTCCCCCACGCTGAAACGTGACTTTCATGGGTCTCAAAATGAGTATAAACAAGGAAACAGAGGGGAAGAGAAACACATTCCTTAAACGATTCCCAAGACTGATCCTTTCAATAAATTTTGAGCACCTACCGTGAACCGGGGAAGGCTGGGCAGCGCCTCTTCCCCACGGCTCGCGGCCTCGGGTTAGCCCGATCCTGGCTCCGCGGGGCCGCGACGCCCGGCTGGCGCTCGGCGGAGGCTCCGAGAGGCTTTGGTACGAGGCACAGCACGGCTGCGGCTGCGCAGCGCCTCCGAACGCTCATTCCTTCCCAGCTGCTGGGGGCTTCCGACAGACCCTCCCTCTCGGGGAAAGAAAATCAAGCTCATGGCAACTTTCGTATTTCACACCTCAGCAACCTGCATCACAGAAAGACTCTAGAACATACCCAAAGCAATTCCGTCCGGATCTGTGTGAAAAAGGCAAACCGGCAGTTTCCGAAGCCTGGCGGCGCTCGGGGCAGGCGGCCTCTCTCCCTCCCCTTTCCGCCCAACTCCCGGGACTCCAGTAGGAAAACCCTGACTCACTGTGTTCTGGGTACTAGAACTTGCCTTTCTGTAGAGTTGTCTCAACCTTGGCACTGCCGACACCTCGGGCCAGATGACTCTTGGTTACATGGGACTGTCCCGTGAATTGCAGGACATTCGGCAGCATCTCTGGCCTCTACTCACTAGATGTGAGTAACCGCTCCCAGTTGTGACAACCAAAAACGTCTCCATACGTTGCCAAAGGCCCCGGGGGATGCGGGGAGCAGCAAAATTGTCCCCTGCTGAGAACCACTACAGTAGAGAAGTATGTTTAAGAAAACACCTTCCTCTAGAAGGGAAGATCAGCTTTCCAAGACACAATCAAGCTGACCTGAGTGAGTGGGCTGGCTTAGTCCACAATAGACATTTTAATCTTGGCAACCATGTGAGACCAAAACAAAAAACCACACTGTTTACTCTGGTAAAACTGAAAGAAAAACTAAAAAGCATAAAAAGAAAATTCGGGAAAGCAGAGGTTAAGAGGATTGGGAGGTAAGAGCAACAATGAGGGAGAAATCATCTTGTTGTAAGTTCCCGTTTGTGAGCACACACATCTGCCGTGGTTTCCCACATGAGTGACTCAAACACCAAACGTGAAGCCGTAGCTAACCTCGTGACAGCACTCGTTTGGGGGTCCAACCTCCAAATTCAGTGTTTTCAGGAAGTATCCCTAAACTCAAGTCCATCTCATTATATGAAAATACACACACACATACACAAAACCTTACCCTACTGTTCTATTAAATCAGACAGTTTAAAATGCATGCCATTCTGGTATTTTTATTTTCTTACTGAGTCCATTTCACTAAAAACCAAACAAAAACAAAAACAAAAAAACCAAACATACAAAACATTTTTAATATATCTTAGAAAATTAGCAAAAAATTAAGTTCAGGATATTACATTGTACAATATTTAGGTAAGAATGTTTGAAAATTATAAATATTTGTTCCTTCTCAACACAGGACATCATAAAAATACATTTTTAAAACTTTCTTCATGTATAATTCCTATAAATGATCATATCCCTATTAATATTTAGGAAAAGGCCTGATTATGACAAGCATTCACACACTCTGGAAATTTTCTGTACAGTAACTACAAAAGTAAAAGCAAGGGGGTTGGGCAGCACGTTGACCGTCGCAACCATTTTAAATATTAGAAAGAATTCCGTTAGTATCAAATTATCATTCCAAACGGGATTTACTTAGTTCATCTCTGTGCTGTGTTTGATTCCTAAGGATCCATCTTAGCCAGAGCACTGTGGGCGAAGGTGTTTGCTTCCTTGCGCAGGTGGCCCCGGAGCCAGGACTTGGGTCAGCGGTAGCACAATGGGCAGAAAGCTCTGCACGACCGCACCCACGGACCGCCGCCCGCAAGCCACGAGCAGGGGCAAGGGCCACACGCCGCCAGGGACGGCTGTGCGGGGGAAGGCGTCGCAAGCGTCCCTCCCTGGCCACCGGCACGCCCAGGCCAGCAGACCGGCGGTCTAGTTCAGAAGCTTGCGCTCGGAGAAGGGCACATACTGCCTGCGTCAGGCAAGGAAGGAGCGCTGTCCCCGGGCCACTGACCCGTCCCTCCCGCGCCCCCCACACGCGGCAGCTGACGACACCGCCCGGACGGCGTGCGCACGGCCTGCTTCCCACAAGGCCCTGAGGGAGCTAAAGGGAATTTTCAAAAGCTGAAGTTTTCAAAGAAAGAGTAAATAAAGAGCGTGATAGTGTCGACTTTTTTTTCTTTTCAGGTAAGCCCTTATTTTCAGGCAGAGAAAGAAGAAGGCTTCCTCAGTACGTTGACCTGCTAGGAGGCACGGAAGGAGGAAGGTTAGAAGTAGCAAAGCCAGTTCCTGTGTCTTTAGCATCGAGCTTTCCAGACGCACGCCGCCGCCGCGCACCAACGGGCCCCTGCCGCCCGTCACTCCCTTCACTCCCTCACTCAGTGCTCTTCTTCCCCTTCCAGCTCTTCTCTCTTTCTTCCAGTTCTGCCTGGGTGAAAGCTGCGGGGCCCCAGTTTGTGATCAGGTGAGGGTTTTTGGAACCTAAGGGACAAACACACATTAAATACAGGAAGTACCATATCCTTCGGTTAACATAAGCTTTTCCCGACAGATAAAACAGTAACTTTCTCCTTTATTTCTCCTCTGAGGAATATCCGTCAATGTCACACCAGCCAAAACAACCGGAAGGCTTATGCAAAGGGAATTAAGGGCGCCTTCTTACCTATGACAGAGTGCGTTATTCAAGAGAAACTGACCCTAAACAGCTTGGTTTCTATATATTTGGGCTAACGAAGATTTTTAGCACAATTCAAACACACAAATAAAACAGAAAAATAAGTTGGAAAAATATCTGATTACTTCAAGGAGCATGTTACCTGGCTCTATCAATCGAATTAATCCTTCATGCTGGGCCACTTTGTCCTTCCAGCTCTTGGTCTTACTAGTTGCCATCTCCAGCTTCTTCTTAACTCCCTGGAACAAAAGCAGATGATACTATGCAAACACAATGGGAGTTTAAGAGCCAAATAGAAATGATTGGGCACTTACTCTATGCTTGTGGGTTATCCCAAGAAATCCTCCCAGCCACCCCCGTTTTACAGATGTGGAAACCAGATGCGGAGAGCTTGAGTAACCTGCCCGAGGTCAGCCAGAGGACTGACTCGCACTGCTCCGCACGAATGTGTGAGATCCTTGTGCGCACCACGGCGCATCACCCCTTGGCTCCAAATGCGCCCCCCCACCCACCCGGCGTGTGACTGCGGGTAACTCTCCTCGCCAGTTGGCACCACTTAAGCTTCGTCAGTAAAGGGCACTGAAGGGACACTGGAGGAAGGGGCTTTGCTTCCAGGTCCCACTGGACCCTGCTCAGTGGCTGAGAACCTGCCGCTCTTCTCAGCAGCTCCTGCGGCGGGGGTGGGGGGCGCAGGTGCTCACCCCAGTGCCCAGAGGACAGCCTCCCAGTCACAGCTCTTCTGCCGTCCAGGGGGCCAAGGCCATGCCCTCTCCAAGGAGGTCGGGATCACAGCCATGGACAGAAGGGGCAAGGGGCAAGGGGGGCCCTCTCCCAGCTGTGTTCCCTCTCTGCGAGCCCTGCCTCAGTCTCCGAGGCACGGGCTGCTTCCTGCCCCGGCCGTTGCTGCAGCCCAAGAGTCTTCTTAACCGCGTAGCAGGCACTCCCCTCGTTATGGCTCATAACTGCCTATATATCAAACTGGCCCTGTTCCAGTTACTGTGCCTCTGCACTGGACTCGACCTGGTTACACCTCAGCACCTGTACAAACTACTACTTCTTACAGCGACGCCACCTTCTTACCAGCGCTTCTTACAGCTAAGCAAATACCGTTAGTTCTAAATGTTTAAGTTTTTACTTCAAGTCCAGTCAGTTAACAGAGGGTGTTATATGAGGGGCTTGTTTCTGCAGCTGGCCCACCGCGCGTGCAGGCGCCATGGGTCACCTCGTACTGCTCCAGCGCCTGTTTCCGCTCGCGCCCCAGCTGCTCCAGCTGCGCCATGGCCTCCTGAAGTGCCCGTTCCTTCGCGCTGCGCTCACTCTCCAGCCCCTGCTTCTCCGCCTCGGTCGCCTGAATGGCCTGCTGCTGCTCCAGGTGCCACTTCTCCAGGTCAGCCCTCTTGGAAGACTCTTCCTCTAGCAACCTGCGACACAGGCAGCTCAGGATCAAACCTGCCTGGGCTCCCCACTGCGGCAGAGGCGGGGGCCCCTGAGGTCATCTCACCCACCCCCCTCATTTCGCAAGGAAGAAACGAGGAGCCACAGAGGCCCATATTCACAAAGCTGGTAAGGCGACCCACGTGTCCTGCCCTGCTCCTCTCTGTTGCACCCTTTGTTGAAAACAAATTAAAATAAAAACAACATTTATAGGGGCACCTGGGTGGCTCAGTTGGTTAAGCGACTGCCTTCGGCTCAGGTCATGATCCTGGAGTCCCGGGATCGAGTCCCGCATCGGGCTCCCTGCTCAG